AGATAGATAGATAGATAGATAGATAGATAGATAGATAGATAGATAGAGATAGAGAGAAATAGATAGATATAGAGAGATAAATAGAGATAGAGAAATAGAGAGAGAGAGATATAGAGAGATAAATAGAGATAGAGAGATAAATAGAGATAGAGAGAGATAGATATAGAGATACAGAGATAGAGAGATAGATAGATGATTGATAGATAGATAGATAGATGATAGATAGATAGGTAGATAGATAGATAGATAGATAGATAGATGATAGATAGATAGATAGATAGATAGATAGATAGATAGATAGATAGATAGAGCCTTCTGAATTCCCTCACTGAAGCCATCTTGATTCTCATGGTTCCAAAGAAGAGGAACTCACATACTCACATAGTGGCACTGGCAAGGTTATGCCAGCAGGTAAAGAAGAAGCAGCACAGGCTCACCTCCACAGGACAGGGTGGCCCAGGCCAAGCAGCACAGGAAAAAGACACCTCTGGAATCTGGACTCACATATTAATCTACCATTTCTCCACCCCGGCCATCCCTGGGGCACTCTGGGATGGTCTCCTTCCTGGAACAGGTCTGCTTAGAGGCCGTCTTACCTCCAGTGTTATCTGCAATAGCCTGATGCTTTACATGCAACACGTGTACTCAGTGTAACTCTCCACGCTGCTGAGACATTCATCAGGGGAAGGGACAAGGCTGCCTTCCTTCCTTGTTTCGTGTTCCTCACAGGGTGCAGATGAGGCTGTGGGAACCAGCTAGAGCTGTCTCCAGTGACATTGCCACCTTCCCAGAGCCTTGTCCTTCCTCTTGTCTAGTCAGGCTGGCTGCTGGGTAGGCAGACACAAGCCCTCTTTGGGACCTTCCTCAGTGTTGTAAGCTATTTTAGCACCCACATTTGTTTAGCACTGGTGCGTGTTTCCCGTCTCAATGCTTGGAATATCATTTTCTACCAGTCTTCCTAATCAAGGAAGTGAGTACTTTATAGGGCCGAATCATTTCTAATCTTCCGCAGCAGACATTTCCAGGCCCTATTGATCCAATAGGATGCTAATTGACATTTTCCTTAGAAGAAAAAAGATGTATCATAACTTATTTACATTTCAATTCCTTATAATAAAACATCAGTTCTCAGAGAATTTTATGTGCAAAAAGAGTCTGTCTTAAAATTTGGAAAATATTCTTCTGATGAAACCATGACAAAGAGTTGTGGTTTACCTTGTCTTCAGCGACATGTGATTCCTCTCATCTGTCTCACAGGTCAGCTCAGGCCTTGGAATCAGGGGTACATTGGTGCTGTCTGCATCAACTTTCTTAGAGGACAGGAAGCACTGGAGTCTTGCTGTAATTTCCATCTTACAGCAGACACTGAACACGTGACTGCCCACCAGCCCTTGGTTGTTGCAAATATGGCTGAGGAAGGTAGTCATCTGTAGGAGGAAAGGGGGACGTGCAAGAGAAGCGTAGGAGACCGACATTCCCCACCGTGGGAAAGTTAAACTGGATGCATGATGCTGAGCTTTGAATCCAATAATCTCAGGACACAGAGATTTGATTTTAATTATTTCATTCTGTGTGTTCATGTGTATTCTTATATGTGTAAGTGTACCCATGTGTGCACACGTATGTGGAGAGGCAGAGACCAATGCTAGGTCTTTCTCACTCTCCATCTTAACTCCAAGACAAGGTCTTTCAATAAACCTACTGCTGTACTGACCAATGAGCCAGCTCTGGGAATCTGCCTGTCTCGGGACCCCACTGTGGGTACTGAGGAAATGAACGGCTGTGCCTGGCTTGACACAGATACTGGGACACACACTCAGGTCTTCACACAGGTACAAGTATTTCATCAACTGAGCTACCATGCCAGCCCCCAGGCATACTTTTTAAGGAAAAATCTTCTAGTTATTAATTTTCTCACATTCATTTATCTGTTATGCATGGTGAGGGTGTGTGCGCCTTGGAGCAGGGAGAGAGGTCAAAGGGGGGTGCGATTTTCTACTTCCACCTTCTGGGTTCTCTGCATCAAACTCAGGCTGTCTGGATTAGAGCAAATGCCTTTACTGAACCACATGTTGAACCCCTTTTAGGTTTTTTAAGTCTAAATCCACATATGCTAGTTGTTGACCAGAGAGAATTTACCATTTCTTCCTTTCCTAAAAAGTTGCTTCATTCTCAAGCAATTGACAGGCTTTTGAAAAATAATTAGATATAATTCAGAATTTCCAAGGCAAGATATTCTTAAGGAGAACTCTCCACCAAGAAAAAAAAATGCTACTAATTTGCTTTTTCCTACTCATTTTTAGTTTTGTTTCCATGGAAACATATTTTAAGAATTGAACTTTGAGTCAATGTGTGTTTGTTGTCACCTTCCCAGTGGGAAATGTAATCATTTTCAATGTTTTCAAATGTTTTTATGTGGCAGGAAATGTTTGGCGTTTGGTAAACCTCATCTGACATGCATGTTCCATATTTGAGGAATAAATACAGAAAAAGTCATCTTTTGAGGCAGAAATAAAAAAGAGATTGCTCTAAAATGAGTATAGCCACTGGCAGAATCTTCATTTAAAACATGGACTAGTGTAGGTTGATGTCATCCCTTGCATTCAGAGTCTGAAACACTATACACAGGCATTAGCCCCGAGAGATGAAGCAGAAAACTCTACAAATTAAGACAAAAGGGTACTCCTCACTTATATGTCCATTATTTAGCCTGAAAATAACTGATCCTAAAACTCAGGGAGGGAATACGGAATGACTCAGTGGCTGAAAGCCCTTGCCACCAAGTCTGATGACCTGAGTTTGATCCCTGGGACCCACAGAGTCAAAAAAGAGAAATGACTCCCAAAGTTGTCCTTTGACCTCTATGTGTCACACACATACACACACACACAGTATAAACATTATATATATGCATACTTGTGTATTATATACATATATATAATTTTAAAACTAAAAATTTTCTCTAGGAAATTCCTATTTTATTGGAATTGCAGGTCACAAAACAGTTTTATAATAAAACGATGATGTCCATTATTTTCTAACTGAGAAAGGGATCTCTAAAAGTATTTGTCTCCTTTTCATATTCTTAAGGAAATTCTTTTTAGTGAATTTTAATTTTAGTTCGGTTTTCCAAAGTTCTTTATACGAAGATGTCAGGCGCCAGCCTCCTGGTGACTCAGGCAGAGAAGTTCACGTAAGTAAGCTTACTGATTGTCAGGGCTGTGACTCATTCCCTCGAGTGCTTGGCCCTCAGGACCTGGGTTCCCAGAGAGAAATGATTAAATGTAGCTTTAGAAGTCTACAAAAATTATATAAGGGGTGTGATTCATACACATTCTCTTGCTTTGCAATGTCCTACCTAGCTATTCAAGCAGTTCTGTCCATAGCGACATGTTTTGTTTACCATCTAGCGAAGACAGGAGAAGAAAGCAACGGGATCCACCTACCAACTGGTGAGCGCACTCAGCAGGTGACTCGTGTGGTCTGAGACTCTTACACTTTTCAGCACGATCCAGTAACTCTTCAGCTATGGTGTGGACCTTATCATAAGCTGCATCCTGAAGAAACTGAGCAACCATAATGAAGGCACTGAAACATAAGATCTGTGTGTGGATTATGCAACAACTTTGCCCCTTCTTTCTTTGTTCTATCGCCCTATTCTCCCCAAAATGATTTCGATTCAAATTTCAAACCAAAGGATCTTGATAATGATAATTAAACTTACGCGTCTCTTGGGGTTTCCTCCAGGTGATCCTGGCGGTTAATATGCTGCCTGGCTGGAGAAAAGGTCTTGTTTGCTGCTGTGGTTTGGATGCATTTATGCCCCTGACTTTCATGTGTTGAAATCCGAACCTGATGTAAGAACTTGTAAGAGTCGTAAGGGTGGAGCCCTCATCCATGGAATTAGTGTCCTTAAAAACGAGGCCCACGGGAGTCATTCATCCTTCTTACCATATGCAAGCATAGCAAGAAGACATCATGGGCAGAAAGCAGGTATGTACAAAGTACCAAATATGAGAGCCTTCACCAGACACTGGTGTTAGCAATTGGTCTTAGACTCTCGAGACTCAGGTACTGTGTGAACTAAACTTCTATATTTATAATTCTCCCGCCCTGTGGCATTTTTGGTAAAGTGGCTCAGATGGACTAAGAAAACTGGTAACAGGAAATTTTCCAGATTGAAAACCCCTCTTAAGCTCGACAATCTCATTATTTGTGTGCAAATTTCTAGATTTATTTTCATTGGCTGTAATCATAAGAACAATTTAACAGTATGTATCTTCCTTTGAATTTAAACTGTTTCCTGTGAGTGATTTTTTTAATATTCAAATACAACTGAACTCTGTCGCTGGTTACAAGTAAATCGCATGTAGTTGAATTCAAAGTTCTGAATTAGGGCCTGGGGAAATAGTTCAGTTGGTAAAGTTCTTGCTGTCTCAGAACAAAAACCCATGTTCAATCCCTGAAATCCACTTTAAAAAAGAGCTAGGCATGGTGGTGCAAGCTGGTAATCCCGCTGCTGACGAGGTGGGTACAAGTGGATCCCTGGGGCTCACAAGAAGCTGGTTTATCCTATTTGGCAAGCTCCAAGCCAATCAAAAACTAAATAAAACAAAACAACACCAAAAGACATTTTAACATGAGACGGGGAAAGCTCACGAGGGCACAACCTGAGATAAAGGAAAGCTGAGAGCAGGAGAAATAGTCTTCCCCAGGGAAGAGCATAGTAATTGGTTATCCAATACCATATGGTCAGCTCTAAAGACATAGGCATAACATTATACTGACTGAGCAGTATATTTACACACACACACACACACACACAACTAAAGAAAGAGAAGCCACAAATTTGAGGGAGAGTGAGTGGAATCACATGAGAGAGTTTGGAGAGAAGAAATAAAAGGAGGAAATGATGTCATTGTCTCATAATCTCAAAAAAATAAAAAAATTGAAACTCAAGATGAGTGGCATCTGAAGAACACACAAGATTGTACTCTGCACCACACATGCACACAAACACACAATGTCCTGGATTCTTTAAACTTAAAGATTTGGTTAAAGTCTTCAATTCTTTCATTAAAAGCTATTCAAAAGTAAATGTCAGCACTTGGGAATAAAATCCCAAACATTAACAATCTGTGGGTCTTGATTTAGCGAAGAAAGCATCTCCCACACTTTGGATGGCTCATCACCCCCATCCTCAGCACCCACTCACTGCACACACATGCGCATCTCGACGGAACTGTGTCTTCCTTCTTACACTAATGGTCTCTAAGGAACTAAGCAACTTTTGGTTAAGTAAACAGTCATTAGCAATGACTATTGCTGCACACAGTAAAGGTTTTAGAGAAAGCTCTTCAGATCTCAACGTCTATTCATAGAAGTAGAAAGGAAATAACTTCTTTGCATTTATGTGTGAAATATATTTTAGTACTTTGGGTGGGTACTAAGGTTAAATGAGGGGCTGGGAAGATGGCTCAGCCAGGAGAGTGCTTGTTGTCCAGGTATAATGAAATAACATTGCAGATGTGAGTTCAGATCCCAAAAACCTCCTTCAAACACCCAGGACAGTGGCATGCACCTGTTATCCCATTGCTGGGAGTGGTAGGGCAGGAGGATCCCTGGAGAGGATCCCTGGAGCTCACTGGTCAGATAGTCTAGCCAATCAGTGAGCTGCAGGTTCAGTGAGAGATCCTGTTTAAAAACAATAAGGTTGAGGAGCAACTGAGAAGGATGCCTGATGTCAGCCTCCAGCCGCTACACACACTTGCACGTATGTCCATAAAAACATATGTAAAGGAACACACCACACTTCACACATGCACACATGTATGTGCACACACACACCACACGCAAAAGATAAAAGAAAACGTGTCAAGTAAAATGTGTAAAGAGCATACTGCCTGGTGATGAGAGGTACAAATAATGTAGCTTCTACTATTGTTCCTGTAGTCATGCACCGTTTCACTCTATTTAAATTCGCTTAGCCAGTTTCAAACATCGGCTCAAGTGTAGCGTTCTCTTATCTAGGATGGAGACAGGAAGGAAGGCTGAAGTGAGATGGTCCCAGGTGATTGGCATCACTGAGTTCACCTCCTTCCTGTAGTTGTTCCGCACGCTCGCGTCTAGCAAGTTTCAGTGACTCTTTAGACGGGGGTGATCGCTGAGAAAGACAAGTTTTTCTACACACATGGTCACTTCACACATCCTTACACTCAGGCCTCACAGGCTGGAGACGGGGTGTCCTACCTGCATGCAGTAAACTTGTTTGAAGAGGCTCACATTTAATGGAGCTGAAGAAAGCAATAAGAAATAGAGTTTTAATAACCTCCATTGTTTCAGATGAAGTGCCACCATTTGAGAGAAATGAAGGCTTTATATTCTTTTCAAGTCTTTGTAATTAACCATTAACTTGTCGAGTGAATTTTTTTCATTAGTGCTCCCGTGGATTCTCATAAAGTTGAAGAACTGCAATGAAGAAATATTGGCATTCGTTAATGAGTACAGGATTTTAAAACAAATAATGCCGACCTACAATTCAAGGTTCAAGGTTACAACACACAGGCCTTGTAATAAAAATTGATCAGCTTGTTTGGTAAATGCCAGTCTACAGGATCTCCTTTCGCTGAAATTCTTGTTTACATGGGCAGAGTTCTAAAGAGACAAAGGGAAAGCAAACACATACTACCCTTGGTCAGACAAGTGGTCAGAACTCAGGTGTCGATGCTGGGCGTGCTACCAGGACCCTGGAGAGAGGGGCACTGCCAGCAAGCACAAAGGCATGACACCTATCAGCGACTGTTGATTGTCAGCCTGGACTACCACATGGCTTTCTCTCATGCCGTCATACAATCATTGTCTGGAAGGGAAATTAGGACGAATTCTATCACGTGCTGGTGGACTCACAGACAACACTTCAGGTCCATCTACCTTGAGATCCTACTCAGTCAAGGGTTGCTCTGTTGTGTCTCCCTCCATTGCTGCCTGTTTTGCTGTTCATCTAGTTCTTAGGTTCAGGGCAAAGGAACAGGGGACTTGATCAGTAAAGAGAAAGTGTGGAATCATGTGAACCTCAGAATGTCAGAGAGAGGAGATTGCCAGTTACTACTTCAGCCTTTCCTTCCCTCAATTTCCTCATTTACAAAATGTGACCCACTTGCAGGTGAAAATTCAGTTTTCTCCAAGGCAGAACCACAGGGAAACAAACTACTCTTATGGGTAGACACCAACAGAAACAAATTCAATGACACCTTTAAGGGAGGGTGGGCCTTGTCTCATAATGTTGTATTAAAACTTTTTAAAATTTTTATCTTATTTTTATTTTTTAAATTTTATTTGTATACATTGTCTCTCTTTATATCCTGCAGGTCCTTTGAATATATCATGGCTTCCAGGTTAGTGCTTTTATGGAATTCCTAGGTGTGTGAAGTAGTGGGTCTCTGTTTCTTGTGCATTTTCTTGAGTTCTTTTCCTTCCGTTTCTTTGTTTGTTTTGTCATATTCTTTTATGTTAGTTTTTGATTTATCATATCATATTTAATTATTATCCTTTAGAAGATTTTTTTTCTAATGAGAGACAGAAAGGAGCTGGGCCCGGACAGAAGGAGAGGTTGGGAGAAACTGAGAGGAGCAGAGTAAGGGGAAATCATAACCAGGATGTATTCTGAGAAAGAAAAGAAAAATCTATGTTCAATAAAAGGAAAAGAAAAAGAGAATTCCAAAGGCGTATGTATAGTCCATGAATTGATTCTGCTACCCACATATTCTCTTTTCTGCCTTTCTGAAGAGGAACCTGTCCGGGAGGGGAGGGGGAGAAGAGAGACAGAGATATTTTCCTGAAAATTAAAACCAAACTGGTTATCTTTTAGATTTGGGTTGCACCAGCTTAAGACTATGAAAGACCCTGTGGAAGAGAAAACCTTGGTTAACAACAGAAAGTTACTGCTGATCAATTGTCACCATGCTTTGGGGGGTCTTCTGAATATTCTTAATGTTCATTCTCTCCATTTTATACATTTGATTGGTTGGTTGGCTTCGGGTTTGGTTTTTGAAACATATTTTGACTATGCATCCCAGGCTGTCTCCGGAAATATGGTCTTCTACCCCAGCCTCCCAATTTCTGGCATTATAGATCTGCAGCACCACTCCAAGCTAGCTAGGTCTCCTGCAATGTGTCCTCAGCAGCGCTCCCTTAACATCTTATTCTAAACCTCCTGCGTCTATCAGAAAGGGAACTGTTAGACCAGTGCTAATTCCTTGAATGAAAATACCAGACTTCCACCCCATGCAGACATCACTAACTAATCCTGTGGCCCATGCCAGCCCAGTCATAGAATCACTCATAGCGCAGCCACATCACTAGATTGTAATTAACACTGGGAGGAGGGATAGAGATGTACAAAATTAATTCTTCCCTTTTTAAAAAAATCCAAATTTAAGAATGGAGTCCTCCTCTCAGAAGTATTTGAATATTGCTAAGAGTTTCTTGAAGACACAGAAAGATGCTGTCGCCTTCCATCAACAACTAATGGTAGAATTCAGACCACAGGAAGCACAAGTGGTGAGGATTTGTTTAAACAGTGGTCAGAGGATGGGACTTACGATGTAACTCGTTCTGAGCAACTTTCCAGAAAATAACCAATTAAAAAAAAAACTTTTCATGCTGGCCTTTGAGATTGAGAAAAGGAAGGTTGAATAACCAGGGGACTCAAGAGATCTGCCTGTGTCTGTCCCCTCCCCAGGGTTGAGATTAAAAATGTATACTTCCTGCCTCCGGGCTCCTGTCTCTATTAGTTCCTGCCTTGGCTTCCCTTGATGAAGGACCTTTAAGGTAAGGTAAAATAAGCCTTTTCTCTCCCAAGTCACTTCCGGTCACTGGTGTCTGTCACAGCAACAGGAACCAAACTGGGACATGCAGCAACCAGTTTGCCGACTGCAACGCAACTGATTAACGTTGTGGTCTGGTTGATAGATGACATTGGTCTGACAGTGGCGTTATGCTTTCATTTTATTGCTTTTTGTAGTAACATGATTCAAGTAAGGGTTATAGAATCTTCTATTCCATTTTTCTTAAGAGCTGAACCTCATAATAGGACGAAGAGGGAGCCTGTAAACGTGTAACAGCTGAAAAGAAGAAAAAAAAATATGCAGTGAAAGAATCTGAGCTCAGGCAATAGTCATATATTTAATAAGACTTCACTAATGTGAACTATAAGTTCTATGTAGTGTTGCAAACCAGCCCTCTCCTGGGTTCAGGTCCCTCTCTCCTGACGCTGGGCATCGTTGCTGTGGTTTAGATATTGGTGTCAAGAGTGATATGTAAACTGCAGGAAAAGGAGCATCCTTTACGAATATTCTGTGAAATCGCAAACATGTGTTTGCTCACAAGGCTCTCCGCTGAGATGTTGACCATGCCTCAGGACAGCAATTTTCAATGAGGCTCTCAAAGGAGACTTTTGGAAGGTTACTATGGTAGTCTGTCTGTCTAGTCCTCCCTGAGAAGTTGACACTTTTCTGCCCCTTTCCCATCTTAGCCCTTTGAGACACTGTCTCTCTACAGTCTTGGCTAGCCTGAAGCTCACTGTGTAGCTCAGGCCAGCCTAGAACTTGCAGCCATCCTATTGTCCGAGCATCCCAAGAGCTGTTGAGTACAGGAATGTGCTGCCTCACCAGGGTTACCTTTCCAGGGACTCAAATGTCTCCCTTTTCGGATTCAGACAAAAAAATGCAGAAAAGCAGAGACTTGAGTTATTCAGAAACTGAGCAGTTCTAGCATGATGCAGTATTCCTGCCCTGCATATAAGGATTGGCATCCAGAGAAACACACGAGGACCTGAACTGGTTACTATGAACTCCTTAGTGTATGGTCTAAGTCAGAAACAAATGTCTGACACACAGGAAGGAATAAGCCATGGAAGCCAAGGATCACATCAAGCTTTAATATTTGACTGAGATAGAAATGTTTACCTCTGGTGTTTTATCTTTTTTTATTAGCAGCTCCACTTTCATCACCAATATTTGAGCCCTGGAAGGGAGATAAAAATCATAGGAAGAAAAGTTTGAGATAGTCGTGTTTCAGTTTAGGGAAGCACACTCATCTGAATTTTGAATGAAGATATAATCACACACACACACACACACACACACACACTAGGAGGGGCAAGGACAGAGGGAGGGGGAGAGGGAGGGGAAACATTCTTCAAGTAACTTTTAGAAAAGGCACTGAAGTTCTTTTTATGTCCTACAAATGAATTCATCTATCTTTTCAGACAGCCCTTAAGGACACACTCGGGCAAATGCTAGATGGAGGTCAATGTCCTCTAATTAAAGTAAAACTATTTTAGCAAACTAATAATTTTTTATTGTGTTTTCAAAGATTAAGTCACTCAGCAAAGTAGGAGACTCTCAAGCCGGATAAAATATGTGTCTGATGTGTGTGCCTGCAAGTGTTTGTGTGTGTGCGTGTGTGTGCATGAGCATGCATGAGCACGCATGAGTGTGCATGAGCTGTGAAAACACCAGGAGCTGCTGGGAAAAAAATAATAAGAAAGAAAGTTAGAGATTTTGTCTCATGCTCCCCGAAGGCACCAGCTGGGGCTGACACTCTCAGATACCCGGCTCTCACCACAGCAGGTTCTACAGATGCCACAGCCACGGGAGTAAGAGGAGCAGGACCAGCTCCCTGATCTCCCTTACTTTCTTACTCTCAACTCCACATGTGCTGTCAACTGAGTGACCTCAGGAAGATCCAGAGAGAGCCAACAGCCACCTTAAAAGCCTTCCTTTCCTAGTACCATTGCCCTTCGCCCTTCCCAGCCGGCAATGTCTTCCTTGGCAAGTCACTTTGACTCCATTGTACTGAGACGACAAGAGAGAGTTGAGGAGTTAGGAGCAATGGTGTAAGTCTATCCTGATTTACAGAGGACAGATGCTATTTTGTCTAAATTACACAAAAAAGACAGTAGGGATGGGAACCAAGTTTGCCTGACAGTTTTCTTACTGTCAGATGTCAGATGTCTACCGGGGACATCTAAACTTCAGTTTGGTGATGACTGCTCTCAAACCCAAGGGTCTTAGACTTGACAGGGAAGAGGAAGAACCAATAGGAAATTCTATTTTGTTCATCTTTCCTGAAGCACCAATAGAATTTCAGTGAAAGAACAGCAAACCTCTGGACGGAAACAGGCTTCGGGCTCCTGCACGTCGCTGCACCTCTCCCCGGTGGCACTGAACTTTGTGAGCAA